AAAATCAGAAACTACAAAAGAAATTCACATGTCAAAATCACAGAGGAAAAATAATAACATGAAAAATCAAAATAACATATCCTCACTAAATACCAATAATCCTCTAGAGAAGGACAATGAGAACTCCCTAGAGATAATGAAGGACATGGAACTCAAAAAACAATTATAAACATGATAAAAGAATTCAGTGAATTTAAAGAACACACATACTAAAAAGAATCATAGAACTGAAGGAAGATAGGGATAAACTTCTGAATGAATTCAGAAAAGAGTTAGAAATATTGAAGAATACTCAGACTGAAATGATGAAGGAAGTGAAACACTCAGTAAGCCAATTAGAAATGAGAGGAGAAAGCTTCACCAATAGGACTAATGAAATGGAAAACAGAGTATCAAGACTGAAAGACAAAGTGGATGAACTGGACCACTCAAGCAAAGTTTATGAAAAATTTAAGAAATCACAAGGATGGAATATGCAGGATATGTGTGATAAAATAAAAAGACCAGATTTACTAATCATAGGCATACAGGAAGGTGAAGAATCCCAAGTAAATGGCATGGACCAGATCTTCAACAGAATCGTGAAAGAAAATTTCCCAAACTTAAAGAAAGACATGCCCATACAAATACAAGAAGCATATAGAACACCAAACAGACAGGACCAGAAAAAAACTCTCCATGGCACATCATAGCAAAACCACTAAACGCACAAAACAAAGAGAAAATCCTGAAAGCTCCAAAAGAGGAACAAGTTACATATAAAGGAAAACCCATGAGGATTACAGCTGACTTTTCAGTGCTAACTATGAAAGTCAGAAGAGCCTGGACCAATGTATTCCCAGTTTTAAATGACCACAGATGCCAACCAAGATTAATACACCCAGCCAAAATGTCTATGATAGTCGAAGGGGAAAGAAAAATCTTTCATGACATAAATAGGCTGAAGGAATTCATTTCCACAAAACCATCCCTTCAGAGATTTCTGGAAGCAATACAAAGAGCTGAAGAAAGGAATGACTATACCCAAGGGATTGCAGAAAGAATTCCAATAACTATGGAAGGGTACAACTATAT